AAAAAAAACTAGAAATTTATAAGCAACATGGGATAAAATTTTTTTGGAAAAAAATTTAGCAATATTTCATAAAATCGTACATAATTTAAAATAGTAACATGCATTATAACAACATATTACTAAAAATTAATGATATAAATAAAAATAATTTAATAAAAAATAAGCAGCATTTCAGTATTTCATAAACTTTTGAAAAAAAAACAGCATAACAATATATTAGATGTGAAAAAATACATAAATGATAAAACTAAACTAATATATTAACTAGTGAAATAAAATTAAAAGAATATTATTACCTAAAAAGGGAGAAGGAACAAGGAAGAGAGCAAGAGAAAGAAGGGTGGGTGTGTGGACATATATGCTCTTTTCCTTAAAAGAAATTGTGTGTTTCTTATGCTAATATTGATAATTAATGTTTTTTAAAAAAAAAAATTGCCCTTTTTTAAGGGCATAACTTTTGGAGTCAATTTAAGGATCAAGGGAAGTTTAATTTTAACAATTTTATAGTAAAGTTAAACATCTCAATATTTCGAATCCAATGACATCAAACGTAATCCGATGATTCAATTTGAGCCTAAATGAGCACAAAATTAAACATTTAACATATAATTGGAACCTTAAAAGCATTAAATGGAAAGTCAAACAATCTCAATATAGTTAAAATTTGTTTATTTCTCTCATCTTATACAGAGAGATAAAATAAATCCAAAATAATTGAATTATGATAGTATGTTCAAGAAGTTGTTCATGTTCAAGTTATATATTGTTGTCTAAACACCAAATAATCATATAGTGGGCTTCCATTATTGTTAAATTGTTACTTTTGCTTCATTTTATTAATCATGCAAATGAATATAACTTCTATTTTTTATCATGAATAATAAATTCAATTTTGTTATGGTCAAAATATTATATTTAAATTATTGATGATTAAAATATTATATTGAATAGTTTGAATGATTGATTTGTAAGAAACTCAAATAGTATTTAGTCATCGGCGGGCTTAAATAAATTTTAGGACGAAAGATTCACCGTTAATAAATTTTTAATGGATTTATGATGGATTAGAGTACTAAGCCAAATGGCTAGAAAACCGCAAAAAATTCAATCAATGAATATTTTTAGAAAATAAATTCATATATAGCTGATATGAAATAATTCAATGAAAATAGACATAATGGAAAATATTTTGCTATGCTTTACAAAACGTACTTGCCCGTTGATTTCATTCCTCCAAATCCAACGCCTATATATATAAGATAGACATGTCCTGTTCTTCTATTTCTGCGAGGCTATCATACATCTTGATAAACCATGGAAGCCGCTGAAGCCCAGAAGATGTCTCGGCAGCCACTGCTCCGCGGGTTCTTCTTCCCCTTGCCAAGCCCCGGTCACATGATCCCTCTCATCGACATCGCCAAGCTCCTCTCCCGCCGCGGTGTCTCCGCCACCATTGTCACCACCCCCGGCAATGAACCCCTCGCCCGCCCAGCCATCGACCTCGCCAACTCCTCCTCTCCTCCTGTAGCCATCCCCATCGACCTCATCCTCCTCCCTTTCTCTCCCTCCGCCGCAGCCAAAGGTGAAAACTTCACTAATGTCCCACCCTCCGATTACCCTCACCTCTTCAACGACATCGCCACCCTCCGCCCTTCTTTACACGACCTCCTCCGCAGCCACCGTGCTGACTTTCTTGTCTCTGACGTCGTAATTGTCTGGGCCGCCGACTTGGCACTGGAGCTCAGCATCCCCCACATCGTTTTCCACGGTCCCGGCGCCTTCCCACTCTGCGTCCACGAGTCTCTCAGACTCCTTAAACCCCACGTCCACTTCTCCGACGATGATACGTCTCATATTCACGTCCACGGTCTCCCCAATGCAATCGAGCTCTCCAAACCGGAGATTTCCGGCGTCTTCAATTTCCCAGAAATAGTCCAGTCGATGAAACATGCCGAGGAGAAGAGCTTCGGCGCGGTTGTCAACACTTTTTACGAACTCGAGCCAGCTTATGCGGATACTTTTCGTCGCCTCTGGGCGGGTAATCGGGCTTGGTTCGTCGGCCCCGTGTCGTTATCCTACGTGGCTGATGATCAAATTGGTCAGGCCAATCGTGGAAGGCTGCAACACGCGGACACGGCTCGACTGATGAGTTGGCTCGACGCTCAGCCACCCCGGTCGGTTGTGTTCGCGTGTTTCGGGAGCCTTTGCGAGCAAGACACGGATCAATTGCGGGAGGCGGCGCTCGGACTCGAGGAGAGCGGGCAACGGTTTATATGGGCGGTGAGGGACTGGTACGGGGCCGCGGCGGAGAAGACGGGGTGGCTGCCGGAAGGATTTGAGGAGCGGGTGAAGGGAAAGGGGTGGGTGGTGAGGGGATGGGCCCCGCAGGTGGCGATACTAGGACACGTGTCGGTGGGGGCTTTCGTGACGCACTGCGGGTGGAACTCCACGGTCGAGGGTTTGGCGGCGGGAGTGCCGTTGGTGGCATGGCCGTTGATGTACGAGCAGTTCGTGAACGAGAGATTGATTACGGAGGTGTTGAGGGTGGGCGTGAGGGTGAGGAAGGGGGCGGCGGAGGTGACGGCGAAAGAGGTGGCGGCGGCGGTTATGAGAGTGATGAGTGATGGTGAGGAGGTGGAGGGGTTTCGAAGGCGGGCGAGGGAGTTTGCGTTGTCGGCGAAGACGGCG